GGCCGTGGCTGGCGAAAACTGAGGTATTATAGCTTGAGTTTGATATCCATATCAATGAGGGATAGATACCAATGTGGTGAATGTGTGTGTCAAAAGAGGGCTGACAGTTTTACATTTGATTTGCAATATAGCTTTTGCTAATTCATAGGAATTGTATCTACAAAAAACATACTAGTGTTTGTGTTTTTCGTTATCGTTGTTGTATAAGTGTTGTTGTTTTCGAGTAATAGTTGTTGCTCGGAGGGCCATTTTTTGTTCATAAAAGAAAAAACAAAACAATAAAAGAAAAAGAAAAAAGCTGGCGATTTTGTATAGAGCTGTTGGCAGAGCCTATCACTGCCTCATCCGCACCCACATAGTGTTTGGAAAGCAATGGGAAGTAGATGGACAATTCATGGAATCCAGTTCTCGTACCTCGCCCTTCTGATTCTCGTATCTGATGTTCATGGCTGTTGCTCGCTTAATTCTGAAGGTAAAGGGTTAATCTTTAGCCTTTTGGACTTGGACATTCAATCCTTTTTTTTTTGAAACATTCCCTGTCGTTCTTGGCTGTGGTGTATGCGATAATCAGGACTAGCTTTGTTAGAATTCCGGGCAAGAGTGGAGTATGATCCACAACGAGCTCTCGAGAATTGGAATGTCGATGACTGTGATCCATGCTTGTGGTCTGGCATCCATTGTGTGGATGGTAATGTGCAAATGCTGTAAGTCGCTGAATAAGTGTACTTTCTTATCTTTAATGGTTAATATGCATTGCACTTTCGGCTATAACATTGATGTGTTTGTTTGGTATCTATCAGAGACCTTAACGGGCACGATCTGGAAGGAACACTGGCGCCAGAGCTTGGAGATCTCCCTCACTTGAAAGCGCTGTAAGCATTAACTCTCTTATGAATTAGATTCATCTGTCTTTGACTCTTTGCTATACAAACACACTAAGGAAAATGCCCATTTATTCGCTTTCAAGAACAAGAAAATTGTTTCTATATGCATCTTATGTTAGTTTACATTGTGAATAAGGGACTTTAATTATCTTTTGAATCTTAACAATGTTGTTGTTTGCTGTCTAATTGCGCTGGAAGTGTACTCTCCAATAACCATTTCTCGGGTGTAATTCCCCAAGAAGTTGGACAGCTCGAAATGCTGGAAGTGTTGGATTTGACGGATAACAACTTGAGCGGAACTATTCCTGCACAGATAGGAGGCCTGCAGTTACTAAGAAGCTTGTGAGTTCAACTGTTACTATGGAAGTCTCGTGGTTCAGTAAGCATGTGTGCTTCCAAACGGAGTTAATATGACTTTTTTTTTCTCAGGTTGCTTTGTAACAATAACTTTGAAGGAAGCATTCCTTCGGAGATTGGGAAACTTAACTTTCTGACTCAATTTCAGTTTGACCCGAATCTCAGTTCTGATTTTGCTTCAGGATCTGGCTGTGTAAATAGAAAATTCGGGGACTGGTAAGTTTTTATTTATTTTTCATAACTTTGCCTTCCTTATTTGTATGTTCTGGTAGCTATGACATGATAAATGATCGAATCTTCATATGCGTTATATTGCAAACATTGCTCTGAGTTTGATGTTGTTTTTGACAGCATCTGGCATGTCAGCTGGAATCCATTGAGGAAAGCCGATTTCTTGATGACATCTATAAAAGTGGTGCTGATACGTTACCTCAATCAGATCTCAGTGTGGGTAACTAAAATGTCTACTAAATTCCCTTGTATTTCCTCATAACATTGCATTTCTGAGAAGTGATTCTCTTTTCACTATAGTTTCAATCTTGGAAAGGGATCTTTGCACCAAAATACCAGCTGCTACTCGGATGATCTGCCAAGTGAGTGAAATGATTCTTTTCCTCGTCTTCAAATTTTAGGGGATTCCAAACTCATTTAGGGTTCATTTATCATGCTTTAGCAGGTTCGCCTAGCCCGCACATAATCCACACTCTAGAGAGTCCACCTAACCCCACACGACGCAAGTTATTTGAAGAATCGAGTAACCTTGTTGCTGCTCCTGCAAATGGTGGGGCGCCATTGGGTAATCTTGTTGCTCAGCCAAGCAGCAGAAGTAGCGGGTCATTCCCAGCTGTGCCTGGGACTTTCATACCAGCATCACCCCTTGAAAATGGCCCTGATCAAGAAGAAACTGATATTCCAGCTCCGGATTCTGGAAAATCTGGACTTAGCTGGAAGTATATAATAGGCATTTTTTGTGGACTTCTCTTACTCATCATTATTATAGCAATCATCTGCATTTGCCGAAGTAGAGCAGCAAGGTCCATTGGCCCTTGGAAGACTGGATTGAGTGGACAATTGCAGAAAGCATTTGTTACAGGTAATGTTGTCCTAGGTGAACATTGAATTTCATAAAGGAGAGTTCCTCTTTTGCCCATTCTCTTTAACTATGGTTGTAGCTCAAAAAAGAGTGAAATCTGAGGTTGAATCTGTGTTAGGATCAAGCATTATCACTATGCCAAAAGCTATAACCTATAATGAAGGCACAACTTTATTTCCTTACACCGCCACATTTTCGAGAGGCAGGGTGCTGGAATTGACTTTTCAGTCTTCCGCCCAACAATGCCCCTAGCCACCTGGTGCTGGACTTGGCCCTTCACTGGCCTCCGCCCAACAATCTGAAAGTTTTATTTCCCGTAGTAATATCATCTTCTCTGTGAAAAATATAGGTGTACCAAAGCTGAATAGATCTGAGTTAGAAACAGCATGTGAAGATTTCAGCAATATTATAAGCACTCATGCTGCTTTCACTATGTACAAGGGTACTCTGTCAAGTGGAGTCGAGATCGTTGTTGCTTCAACCGCCATAAGTTTTTCGAAAGACTGGTCCAAACGGGCAGAAATAGCCTTTAGGAAGAAGGTTAGTTTGTGAAAGTTAATACTTGGTGACCAATGGCATTCTCGGTTGAATTCAAATTGGCTTATTGTGCATTGTTCATTCCCCGTTGGAGAACTCACTTGTTATGCTTGTTTTTGCACTTACATAGATTGATACTCTTTCACGGATCAACCACAAGAATTTTGTTAACCTCATTGGCTATTGTGAGGAGGACGAGCCTTTTACTAGAATGATGGTGTTCGAGTATGCTCCGAATGGAACTCTTTTTGAACATCTACATGGTAATATATGTTACTAATACAAATTTCCATGTAAATCATTTTGAAAAGCAGTGGCTTTAATAAGTAATCAAAATGCAATTTTTGTATATTTCAGTTAAAGAAGTTGAACATCTCGACTGGAATACAAGGATGAGAGTTATAATGGGGACTGCATATTGTATCCAGTACATGCACGAATTAAATCCACCGTTGCCTCATTCAAACATCAGTTCAAAATTCATATACTTGACAGATGATTATGCTGCTAAGGTAGGAGGTTGGCATATTTATGTGAAACTGTTCCGTGTTCATATAAAGAACCAATTTCATTTACACAGATTGCAGAGATGAGTTTCTGGGAAGAACTGGCAGCCAAGTCAAAATCTGGAGAAAACGAAGAGAATTCTGAATTGCCACCGCTTGCTGACCCCGAAACAAACATCTATAGCTTTGGGCTTGTGTTACTGGAAACAGTTACTGCAAAACTACCTTATTCAGAAGAGCAAGGCCCTCTTCTCAACTGGGTAAGTCTCTGCATTTGCATTCTGTAGGATGGTGCCCCACATTCCTAACTTGGCCCTTCAGGCCTCCACCCTAACACATTTCTATTTCTCTATGTGTTTTTCTTTCTTTCCTTCGCCATTCTTATATAGAGACGAGTATTGTGTGTAGGCTGTGCAATACCTGAGCAATAGGCAGAGCTACAGCAAACTGGTTGACCCAACATTGAATTCTTTCAACGAGGACGAGCTAGCAGTGGTGTGTGAGGTAATCCAGGAATGCGTCCGACAAGACACCAGGAAGAGACCAACCATCAAGGAAGTGATAGAGAAGCTAAGGAAAGTCCTCGATATCTCCCCCGAGGGTGCAGTTCCCAGGCTGTCGCCGCTCTGGTGGGCAGAGCTCGAGATCCTATCAGCTGAGGCGCCTTAGTCCCCCTGCATATTACCCGGTTTTTGTAAGTGAAAAAAGGATTGCTTAGCTTTAACAATGTGTATGTATGTATGTATGCACACAATCTCAAAGTCAAAACCTCTCCCATGCTCACATTTGTATGTATTCTTCCATCTTATTGTCATTGTAAAAGGTTTTATAGTACACACACTATTGTAGTGCTACTACTGCTGTGAATATTCATTCAGAATTGGTATGTAACATAAAAGAAAGAAAAGAAAAAAACAAAAAAGATGAATTTGAACAGCAGGATGTTGAGTGTTGGCGACTACTTTAAATCTCTTTGTAGTTTCTAGCTGCTGCTGCATAGGTTCTTCTGAGTGGCTGCTATGGAAAATTTTGGTTCTTTCTTTGTGTGTCAAGTGTTTCTGCTTTTAATGTTTAATTCCACAGCTAAGAAACACCACAAATCACTGTCTTACTTTTGCTTGGCTGCTTTTTCTTTTTGGATGAAGAAAATTCAGTCAAGGTGCCCTGTATTTTTTAGATAACAAGGAAAACCGGTATTCATTATTAAAGGGTTCACTGTTTTTTTTAGATGACAAGGAAAAATTGTAATCATTATTGAAGAGTGTACATTGAATAAGCTTCATTTTATGATCTTGGCCAGTAAATGACCACAAGAAAGTAAATTAGTCTAGATTGTCCGTAATCACTACTTAAAAGTGTGAATTGAATAAATCCTACCTTATGACCCTAGCCAATAAAGGACTACAAAAAGATAAATGGTAAATCAGGGTCTAAGTCTTCAGCAGTCAGTGTCCGATGTGTGTACTGAATAAATCCCACCTTATAACCCTAATCAGTAAAAAAACATAAGAAAGCTAACTAAATCAGTCAAGATTGTTCATAGCTGACTCGCTCGGTTGCTTTTCAATCCTCTTTACAATTAAGCATATATGTGAGCATGCATGGTACCACCAGAGCAATAAATTGAATCAAAAGTGAAAATGGTTCCTTTTTCAGAAGCTACCAAATGCACTCCAATCTCCTCTAATTCCAGATACATGTTCTAATACAAGACTAAATGAAACTGGAAATTAAATCTAATTTTTTTTTTTAATTTTTTTACTATGATGAATTTGTGATGAGACTAAGATTGTGTTGTGTCTTCCCACATTTCCTCATCTGAATCTGAAGCATTGAAGCAGAAGCCAAGAAGTGTATACTGTGTGTGGGACCCATCACATCCAGCAACCCTTTCAGTGTCTTCAGCCTCACACAATCAGCCATTTTCATCACCTTTTCAAGACCACCAAGCATGTTCTTCACCGCCACATCCGCCACCGTGTCGCCGCCGCCCAGGCGAGCAAGCTCCACCATCCGCCGGTCAGCCATGGCCACCTGCTGCCGCTCCATCTCCCTCTCCACCTTCTCCTCCTCCGCCTTGATCTTCCCCCGCAAAACCTCCACCTTCTTCATCTGCTCCTCGCTCATCCCTTCGCCGGCGACCAGCCGGAACGCCGTGGACGGCTTCCACCCCGTCACCCACAAGTACGCGCTCTCCAAGGACGTCAGCCACACGGGGGCGAAGAACGCCAGAACGTCCTCACGCGCCGCCGCCCATTTGGCGGTGTAGTAATTCTTGTAGTGGGTAGTCAATTTATTCACCAAAAATTCGTGATCTTTCTCGTTCTCGGCCGCAATGAGGAGCAACTGGGCACACTCCTCAAGCTGCGCCATCCATTTCTCGAAGAAATCCGTGAAGCTCTCCTCGACTTTACTTCTCATACTCGAAGAAAATTGCCGGCTTGGCTTCCAAGGACTTGAAAACAAAACTCCAAGTATAATTAATGATACACACGCATGTGTGTGTATGTATAGGTGGGAGGGGGTGGGTGGGTCTTTTGACTGGGTTGAAGGGGCATTTGTAAGTTGCATGGAGTGCATGTACAGTGATAAGTAAACAGGTGGTATAGGGTTGGCCATGCAAACGTGGCATCAGAGGGCTCATGTACCTTCCCACGTGGAGTTTGCTTACATATGCTTTAATTACAAACTCAAATCAATATATATATATATATAATTTGAATCAAATAAAAAACTATTGCATGAGATAATTAAAAACCACTCGGAACAGTCAATCTATGAAAAATTAACGGCTTTAAAGAAAGGAGAGAGTGAGGAATAAAGTACTATGATATTTTCATAAATAATTTAACTTTGTCGTTTGGTTCAAGGAATATCAGATTACCTTAAATTACTGAGAATGTTAAATTACTGAGAATGTTAGATTATTAGGAATGTTAGATTCATGTGTTTGGTTAAAATTGGGGTATGTAATATAATCATGTTTGGTTTAGGGTTATCTTTTATTCACACACTATAATATCCTTAACATATTTTCATATATTTTAATAAATTTAAAAATTAAAATAAATAAATAAGATAACGGTATCATATATAATTACATGATTTTAAAATATTAACTAAAATATTGAACTTGAAAAACAAAATTATTTTATATGCTAACCTAACATAATAAAAATAAAAAATATATAATTACAAAAATAATTTTATATATATATATATATATATATATATATATATATATATATATGTGTGTGTGTGTGTGTGTGTGTGTGTGTGTGTGTGTAATAAACTAACATAACTAAGGTTATCTTACATAACCTTAGAAATTGAAGGGAATCACATTCCCTTCAAAATCCTACATGGAGGGAATGTGACATTCCTGGGGAATGTTAGATTCCCTGAGATAATGTGAACCAAACATAGGTATGTGAGCTTTGGAATGTCACATTCCCTTGGTTATGTTATATAACCTGAACCAAACGCCCCCTAAAGTGTAATAAACAACACTATAGAGCACAACTAACAACAGTATAGAGTGCATCTGTCCTAGTATAAGTGCAGTGGATAGATGCACTCCATCTGTTAGCTTTGCTTAGTTGCACTCTATAGTGTTAGTTGATAGTTACACTTTAAAGTTTGAGTAGTTTACAAAAATGTCTTTCGTTTTTTACAGCATATGAGCTCTATATGTAGTTTTGCGTAGTTGAAATTTATAATGTTAAAAGTTGCACTCTATAGTGTTACTAATTAAACTTTAAAGGTTGATGAGTTATTTATAAAAATGTCATTGTATGCTTTTTTTTTTTTTTTTTTCTCTTTAATTGCTTTAAATCTATTAGATTTTTTAGATGGACATCTATGATTGGTTCTTAATTAGTTCCCCCCATGAGGAATAGCTCTCAAGAGAGTATGCCCTATATACATGGAGCGTTAGGTGAGATCACGATGGTAAGTTAAAAATTATGACTGATCTGATCCGTCTATGTAGGTAAGATTAACAATTGAAGATTATTGAAAAATATTGGAAAAATGGATCATGTCAATATTATAAATATTGAAAACTTAAAATTTTACAATAATTATAAATTTGATTCGTATTTTTCTTCCATTTTTTTCTTTTATTAAAACTTTCAACATGAACTCTAATGTTTGGCTATAATCATTCTTCATTTTTTACATGGGATTGTTCTCATTTAAACTCACCCATATATGTGTGAAATAGAGCAAATTATATCATGAACCCAAATACATACATAAAAATAATATTGTAGGTTCATAAAAAATTCAAGTACATAAATATAATTTTCCAATTTCAATACAATGACACCAATTGATCATGGGTGACTCTCATGTGAGACCGCCTCACAAATTTTTATCCGTGAGATAGGTCAGGTCATGTCTATATGTAAACCTATGATGGAAAATGTAATACTAAATAGGAATAAATTAATTGTTATTTATAAGAAAAAATGTAATACTTTTGAGAAAAAATGTAATAATTTTAAATCAAAATTTAATATTTAGGGGTTGAAGAGTTACTTATGATAAAAAGTATAATATTAATCGTGATAAATTGATTGAATGTTACTTATGAGGCAAATTATACTATGGATCATGGTCCACATTGCAATTTGGACCATTAATAAATGTTTATTTTTAGTATATTGAAAGTTCATTTTTAATGTACTAAATGATCATTTTTAGGTAGTATACCAAATAATGAACAATCAATACACAAAAAATGAACCTTCAAAAAATAACATTCAATGTATTAAAAATGAACTTTCGTTATACTAAAAATGAACCTCACATCAGTGGTTTACCTTACAAGGTGACCAATGATAGTCCATGGTATAAACTATAATGATTGTATTTATGAAGGAAATTGTAACAACTCATATGAGAAAAAATATGATACTTTTGATTAAAAAAAATGTAATACGTTTAAATCAAAATATAATATTAGGGATCGAAGAGTTACTTGTGAAGAAAATAATTGTAATACTTGTGTGGAGCTCATCCTATCTCATGAATGTGGTCTCATAGTAGATTTTTCCATTGATCAATTATTACTTAAATATATTATTCTATTTTTTGTATAAAAGAAATTAATATAAAAAATATCTCATTGAAATATTTGAAATAAAACACATATTGATATATTTTTCAATATATATCATTTAAATAATTTGTGATCAACATTTAATAATAATTTTATAAAAATATAGTTATAATTTTATGAATGTGCTGTAATTATTTAATGAACATATAGTAGGAACTTTTAGAAATAGGTGGAAAATTTGTCTTTGACTTTTGGATATAATAAATATAAATGCATTCATTAGTGGTCGGAATACCATATTTAAAATAAAGGAAAAAGGAAGAGGTAAAAGTACAGTACTTAACAAATGAATAACTGCGTGAAGGCGTGGAAGACGCAAAATTTCCGTTGCCGGGAATCGAACCCGGATCTTTCGGGTGAGAGCCGAATATCCTAACCAACTAGACTACAACGGATAATTATTCATAATTTAAAACTTGAGCTATTTGATTCATAAAAATGGTGTCACTCGATCAATTATCAGTTAAATAAATCATTATCTAATTATTTTTATAAAATTAAAATTAATATATAGAAAATATCTTACTAAAAATTCTCGTTGATATATTTTCCAATAAATCATTTCAATAAGTTTTGATAAACTTTCAGTAGAAATTTTATGAGCTTGTAGTGATTTTATGAACATATAGTAAAGACTTTATGAACCTCTCGTAGTTATTTGATTTATAATAGTAATTTTTTGAACCTGCAATAGTAATTTTATGAACTTGCAACATTGATTTTATGAACATGTAATTGTAATTTTATGAAAAATCTATTTTTTGAAAGCAAACAACGAACTTCATTAAACATTGAAAAAACTCGCAATACAAAGTGGGTAAACAAAAATTCACGAGTTAAATCTATTTTTGGTCCTACATTTATTGTGCATTGGATACATTTTACCCGCTTTTATTAATTTTGTCACATTTTACCCGGATTTAATAAAAGTTAGACACTTTTAGTCCACCGTTCAAATTGACATTAAGTTTCCGTGAAATTGAAGGGCATTTTTGTCCTTTCCAGTCCTGAGATGAGGCAAACACATCATTTGCATTTCGCCTAGAGAATTCGTCTCGAAGCTAGCTCTGCTGGGGAAAGGCAACTCACATCATCAACTCACTCACTAGAAAGATTTTTTTTTTTTTTTTTTTAATTCACTTTGTACACTAAATTCATCTTTTTCCAGAAAGTCCCCATGTTCCATAAAATAAACTTCCACAACAGAGATGAAATTATCCTCTAAAAACAAGAAAATAAATACTGCAAAAAAATATTGTCCTTACTCGTTGAGAATAGAGGCAAATCCACTGAAACAAACAAATAAACAAAAATTAGTCCTTACTGCCACCTCCCAAGACCATAAGTTTAGCAATATCGATAAAATATGCTATGACTTCTACACTAAAAGCATTCAAGAAAAAAAAATTGATTCTTTTTTCTAATTAAAGGGCTTCATATGTTTTTTTTTTTTTTGAAAGAAAGAAAACTCCATTAATTCAAATCGTTATACAGATCGTTGACAATAAAGGAAGGAGGGCAAGAGGACCACTCCTTACGTACAGACAAAGAACAGGCTTCCCTAGTTAGATTATGGGCAACACTATTCGCAGTACGACGAACATGAGAGATAGCTACATGATTAAGTGAATGCAGCAAATCTTTTACATCATTAATAACTAAATCAAAAGAAGAGACCTCCCCATTATGCTTCAGACTCTGTAGAACTTGGAGAGCATCCAACTCAACCTTTACGTGACTGATCCCGCGATTCTTCAGCCAACTTAGAGCTTCCCTTACGGCCATGGCCTCAGCTTCCTTAGGTAAGAACAATCCTCTCCCTGGAATGCAAGCTGCTGTGATGAACTGACCATGCTCGTTCCTAAGCACCCATCCAAAGCCCATGCGATTGTTGTTGTTGTTGACGGCAGCATCTGTGTTGAGCTTCAAATAGCCATGAGGTGGTCTTTCCCATCGTTGATCTGGAGGTATGCCCGGTCCAACTCTATTGCCTCTGATATTCACAATATTATTCCAATCCTCCAGAAAATGAATAGCTCCCTTGAGTAAACTACTGGGATTAGAGGACTTATCATTCCATATACGATCATTCCGAGCACGCCAAATTTTCCAGCGAATCATCAGCAGCAAACAACACCGATCCTCCTCCAATGATGCCAAATGATAGTTCATCCAATGCTCAAAACTGTCGAAACCTCCAGAGCTCACAGGAAGATTGCTCAGACCCCAGATCGTTCTTGCGAAACTGCACTCAGTGAAAAGATGTGATGCAGTTTCATTCGCCGAGGTGCATAAAATACATGTTGCAGAGCAGTCCACACGCTTCACTCTCAATTTGTCTGCTGTGGGTAAACAACCGGAACAAACCTGCCATATAAAAACTT